AGAACACAAGCCACGGTTAAGACAGCTGACTCCACTGATGTGACCCTGTCTCTCTCTCTCTCTCTCTCACACAAACGCACGCACGCACAAACACACACACACACACACACTTACTTAAGCTAATAACAAAACAGTAGCTGATTCAGAAGTGCCAGATTGTCATAGCAAAGTCAGAATTACCTCCTCTCCTAGGTTCACGAAACGGTCGTCCATAAAATGCATTGCTGTTCTGTTGTAAGTAATCTTAAAGATTCCTAAATGCATCTACTTCTTCCGGAAGGCCAAATAAAGTGCTTTTGCTTTCTCCTAGAAACACACAGCGTCTCCCTGACATGCTGCTTCAACACTAACTGCGGTTACTGAAACCGCGCCTTCTTTCTTTGCGTGCACATTTGGGCGCATTATGCTAATATTCCCACATAGTGATGTAGATATGTGGGGGCGTGTTAGAACGAGCTGTTTTGGGGGGCGTGGCAGAGTCTTAACTTTGATAAAGAACATCTCTTTGGTTTTGAGACTTTAGTCTTTGCAACTTCAGGGATCTTATCTATGCACAATCAGCTTGCAACACTCCAAAGGGAAAGGAAAACTTGAAATCGCATCATATCACCCCTTTAAATTTAACACATTTAACAACTTCAGTGACAGTCTACGTTATACAGTAAATTCTTTTTTTTTTTGTGACTGGATTCAGTCTGCGTTTTTCTGAATTGCAGAAAGCATAAGCTCAATCTAAGCTCAAGTCAGTTCAGTGTTGATTCAGATTCGGTTCAATAACTACGTAAAGTTCATGAATTATGAAACAAGGTAAATTCAGATGTAAGCAGCTCTACAAAGATAACGGTGTCATTATTCAACTCATGTCAGTTCAATGCTGTTTCAGTACATTAACAGTGTTGATGTTACAAAATTTGGCAGTTATGAACCAATTTGATTCAGCTATAAAGAAGAAGCTCTACAGAAGACAGTCGTGTCATTATTCAGCTCAATTCAGTTTAAGTTTTGTTTCGTTCTCATCTGATAGTGTTTGTGTCCAATGCACAGCACCCTTATGAAAGAGACTGCAGGCTGTGATGAATTAGTGTGACTGTGTTGTGTTAATGTGTGTTGTTGTTTTCCAGGCCTACCCAGAGTATCTCATCAACTATCAGATATTGAAGCCGGAAAGCACGCCTCAGTCCTCCACAGAAGCAGAGCAGAAATCATAGTCAGACACTGCGTTTCTACATTCACTCACTCACTCATTCGCTCACTCACTCATTGTTTCTCTCTCTCTTGTTGCACAATGGAAATGTGAACTTTCCCATGTACCCACGTCTTGGAATTCCCATGTATGAGTTATGAATTTGCACTTTTAAAAACAAGTTACTTAAGTTATTTGAAAATAGTTGCATTTGTGAAGTCTAATGTACAGGTAGTATAAAGAAAACATGTAAAACTGACTGTGTTTAATGACGCCATTTGAGTTGTATTTTAATGGAACTTTTTGTTTTGAGTCTGTTAATTTCTTTTAAATAAATCTCATCAGAACAGGACTCATTCATATGACTTGCTTTTGATTGTTTATTCATATGGAGTGTTATTGCCTTTATTATGTAGTCTCTGCATTTTAAGTTGGAATTGCAAAGGGGAATAAAAATAATAGTAGATGCATATAATACGCTACCATTGAAATGTTTTAAAGTTTTTAATATTTTTGAAAGAAGATTCTTATTCACACCCGGGCTGCAATTTGTTGATCAAAAATACAGTAAAAAAAAAATTGTGAATTACAATTTTTCTGTTTTGAGATTTTAAAATGCAATTTATTCCTGTGATGCAAAGCTGCATTTTCAGCATCATTACTCCAGTCTTCAGTGTGACATGATCCTTCAGAAATCATTCTAATATACTGATTTGCTGCTCAAGAAACATTTTCTAAGCAGTTGTGCTGCTCAGGGCTGGACTGGGACAAAACAATTAACTTTAATTATAATTTTTTCGGTCCAAACGGCTAAGCAGATTGTAAATAGATCTGAAATTACAGTAAAAACAGAAGGATAAAACGTGTGTGTTTATATATATATATATATATATACACACACACACACATTTATTAATATTTTAAAATACCAGGATTGTGTTAGACATGGTACTTGGGGTTTGTTCAATACCATGATCTTACAATTATCATTATTAAAAGATTATCAATTTAAAAATATAGGCGTATGAGACTTGGGAAGCTGTAGGGGGAACGTTTTAGACCACCAAACTATATTGCCATTTTATCTGTTCTGTAAAAATGGCTTTGCAAGTAAATTTAAATGAACAAAAATGAGTAAAAAGAGACGGTAAACGTACTTTTCATTGCACTTAAAGGGACAGTTCACCCAAAAATGAAAATTCTGTCATCATTTACTCACCCTCATGTCGTTCCAAACCTGTATGAGTTGCTTTCTTATGTTGAACACAAGATATTTTGAAGATTGCTGGTAATCAAACAGTCGGTGGAATAGCAGGAAAATGGAAGTCAATGGCAACCACCGACTGTTTGATTATCAGCAATCTTCAAAATATCTTATCTTGTGTTCAACATAAGAAAGCAACTCATACAGGTTTGGAACGACATGAGGGTGAGTAAATGATGACAGAATTTTCATTTTTTTGGGTGAGCTGTCCCTTTAATCACAACACATTTAAACCAGTAGTCCGCGCGACGTTCAGCTGTTAAACTCAAGTCGCCAGTCAATGACGTCAGGGCACCAACCTTTCTGAAGAGCGCAGATACAATTTATGAGCACAGAAGTAGGGCAAAATGTGTTTTAGTGTCACTGAACACGATTTCTGGAACTCGAAACATTAGATAATATATCTATGTAGTTGTTAAGTGAAACTGTAAGTCATGTACAGTGAACGCGAGTGTTTGTATAGATGTAAACACATGTGTTCATTCCCATGGACGCTATTTCTATCAGTCCTGGTGATTAAACAGCAGCAGTCTGTTATATCTTCATCTGTGGAGGTTCAAGTGAATGTTGACGAGCAACTACGAAACCTGAAGCACTTTTGGAGAAGCACTGGATTCTGGTAGGTTAAAACTAATGTTGTAAACGACCCCTTACTCAGTACCATGGTACAGTGAGTATAATACCATGGTACTACTATCGTTTTCTAGATACATATGAAACCATTTCATCATTGGAAGTGCATGTAAATACCATGGTATGTGAATTTCATTACCGTCTGATATAATCACTGTATCGTGGTACTGTTTTAAGGGAATGAAGCTTGATTACATATTCATATATCGCAGTGTTTACATGATACTCCAAAGTAAAGAATACCATAGTGTAGTTATACACATGTACTACATTTGTAGAACCTTGAACATAAAGACTCCAAAAGAAAAGTTTATTAAGAACTAGGGCTGCACGATTAATCGAGTTTCTAATCGCGATTACAATTATGGATGCCACAATTACGTAATCGTTCAAAGCGGCGATTAATCGTTCAGAGTCCACTTATGTTATTCTGCGTGCTTAAGATGCTTTTCTTTTTCTTCTACATGTTATCTTAAGGGCTTTTCCATTGCTTTAATTTTAGTTTTAGTATAACACTATAATACCATTTATATTTGTACTTTTTTATATAATTTAAAGAAACCAATCCGATGTACAGTTGACATTTGAGGCTTAATACTATAGAAAGGCACTAAACGTTTTTCAGTTAGAGTGTTTTCAGCTTATTTTCATATAAAAATACGGCATGCAGTTGCGTCACACAATGGTATAAACATCAATGTAAATTGTGATTAATAATCACGATTACAATTTCAAGGGAATAATCGACAATTATGATTTTTGTCATAATCATGCAGCCCTATTCAGAACTAGAATCTAAAATCATATTGCGATATCTTTAATACTTCTTAAAGTTATAGGCATGCAAACTTTGGAAAAATAATACTTATGGCACTCAGACTTACGGCACTGTTAAATGCAGTTATTTTGACAGAAGGAAACGAGATACATTTTTAATTTCAACTTAGTTTGTTCTTCAGACATTCCTCTTTAAAAGAAAAGAAGTATCATATTTATGCAAAGTGATCCACATTTGGTTTTTGACCATTGAAAATATGCACAATTTAACAATTTACTGCTGGAGCTATATTGAAATTCCAATATCTCTGGAAGTGAACCAAATGAAGATGTCAAAAGGAAAGTTTGTTAAGACCCAATATCAAAAAGAGCATTGAGATGTCTTTAATACTTCTTAAGTTACAGGCATGCAAACTTTGGAGAAAAAACTTGAAAAGTGCTCTTTCCCCATTTTTGAATGGTCACCATTGGCACATAATGCAACAAAGATTGCTAAAGTCAACAGATTTTGCTAACAGACCTACCAATCTCTGTGTAAAAATAACATCATGATGCTGGCACCTTTCTGAAGTCATTTTTAACCCCCTGTAATATGGCTCTGTATCTCAGGTGAAAAACTGCCATTTTGACCACCCTCTACAAAATAGTGGATTACTCAGTAAATATACATCTGTGACATTTAATATTTTGGCTTTCATCACTATGCATGTTTATCTTTCTTCCGAAAAAATATTAGCAAAATCAAAAATTTGAGCCGGGGGCCTCTGGCACTCTTTTGTTAGTGACATCTGCAAGCATTTCAGGAAAACCTTGTCTGTGTAATTGTTTTAGTGGGTGAAAATCACTAAGCACTCAATTAACTATTGTCTCTTGTTTTTGCAGCCCTCCACAGCCACACACTGATGCACACCTGTATGATCTCAGTCCAGACCAGCAGATGAATCTGGCTTTGATCGGCTCTGTGCCGCACAGAGGAATCCAGCAGGTGCGGATACACTGGATGCTGGAGCTGGTGTCCGCACGGTCAGTTACACCATATTACCACAGTCACACTTTCTCTTCTTCTATTTGGTAAATGTGAAAAATTAAAATATACTTTGCACATGTTAATATGCAAATATCAAGATTCATATCAATATGCATATGCATCTCTCTGTTTTTCTTTGATTGTGGTTTAACATTGCAAGTAAGCAGTGCTATTTCCATAAGATATTATTTCCAAGAGCATGTGTGTGTGTGTGTGTGTGTGTTTTTTAAAGAAGTTTCTAATGCTGACCATGGCTGCATTTATATGATCAAAAATACAGTAAAACAGTAATATTGTGGAATAATATTATCATTTAAAATAACTGTTTTCTATTGAATATATTTTCAAGTGTAATGTATTCCTGTGATGCAAAGCTGAATTTCCAGAAGCCATCACTCCAGTCTTCAGTGTCACATGATCCTTCAGAAATCATTCTAATATGCAGATATTAATACTGATATTAATATGCATTTACGTCTATCTATGTAAAAATCTGTGATTGTTGTGTGACTTTGCGGTGCTATTTAAGATTACGATTTGTAAAAGATTACGTATAAGATTATGTTTTCTTAGTACGTTTCCTTCATCTTTCTTAATATCATATCTAGACTTAGGTCTATATCTAGACTTAATATTAAATGCATCTTTTATATTTTCTGCGTATTCTTCATGCATCAATGTTACACTTTCATCTCCATGTAAACTATACTGTAGTTATGCATATATGCTATACTATAGTTATGTAGTATGCATAATACATAAAATGCAAACATTATGCACATGCATTTTTTTGTGCATTAACAAATAATCTTTAATTAAATGCATTATTTATATGTCTCTTATTTTGGCTACTCTTCATGCATCACTGTTACACTTTCATCTCCATGTGAACCAGAAGTAGTGCACTGTAAGATTTTGTCTCTGAATTTTGTGTAGAGTTTACAGTGGAGAATATCACTACAACTTCACTCACTTAGACCAGCTGATTGACCTCCTCTGGCAGAATGGACTGCAGCCGGGTAATTTTCAAAATATTACAGCAAAATCCACATTTGAATGCTTGTGAAATTTAGAATTAGGGCTCTGCCACTAGGGTTAATTTAACACAAATTTGCATTGTGTTAAAGAGGATTGGTTCTTTTTAAAGGGTTTGAACTGATGGGCAGCGTGTCCAACACCTTTAGCAACTTTGAGGACAAAAGACAAGTTACTGAATGGAGGAATTTGGTCTTTTTGATCGCCAAAAGATACATATGTGAGTATGAGACTGAGGTCGTGATATCTTAGATTGTGATAGATCATGAATCACCTCTTGTGGATTTTGAACATTTTGTGTACTAGTCCAGATCTTTACCACAAAGCTCCAGAAGTTCTGACTGTATTTGTTCCTGTTGTTTTGTATGTGTGTGCAGGGAAATACGGCCTTGGCTTTGTCTCTCAGTGGAACTTCGAGACGTGGAATGAGCCGAACAACCACGACTTTGACAACATCACTGTGTCAATCCAAGGTACAGTTTAAAAACTATTTGTTGTTGTCTGAGCCAAAGTCCTGTCAATCTTTCTCAATCAATTTGAATTGATTTTATTAGTGATCTCAAACCATCCAGCACCACCAACAGCTCAACTGTTGATCTTACAGTAAGTTTCTGTTTATAAGTTTTGATCCAAATGGACTAAAAACGAAATATTCCTAGGTTCTTTGGATCATGCTGAATTAATTGTACCAATATTTTCTGGCAATTACATTTTTTTTAAACCTGTTTCAAATTTAGAAAACCTTCCTTGAGAAATTGCTTCTGTTCCTCTTTTGTAAGTCGCTTTGGATAAAAGCATCTGCTACATGCATAAATAAAAATGTAAAACTGACCAACCAACTATATATTTTTCTTATATTTTTATTTTAGTTTTGATACATCCTGCCACGAGTGCTGCATTTTTAAGATGCCATCTCAAGTTAACAATAGTCCAAGTTGTCCAACTTTTGAAAAGTGTCTTGAGACCCCATGGGACCATGACATGTGGGCACCACAAACTCAGTCTCTGTAATTGCAGCTATATTTTGTTATGTTCATATGTTACATAGAAGTCAACAATTTTATTGTACAATTCTGAGGGATGAAATAGACATATGTAATTAATTTGCACCTAACTGAACTAGGGTCCATGTTTATGCCTGTATGTTTGGCAAACACATGTATATATGAAGTTTTGTGGAAGTGTTAAATGTGAAGTTTGCATTTATTTGATCAAAAATACAGTTAAAACAATACTGCGAAATATTATTGCAAATTAAAAAAACTATTTTTTATTTGTATTTATACTGTAAAATGTATTTAATTGCTGTGATGCAAAGCTGAATTTTCTGCATCATTACTCCAGTCTTCAGTGTCACATGATCCTTCAGAAATCATTCTAATATACTGATTTGCTGCTCAAGAAACATTTTTTATTATTATCAGTGTTGAAACTAGTTGTGCTGCTTAATATTCTTGTGGAAACCATAATAATATTTTTTAGAAATACATTGAATAGAAAGTATGTATTTGAAATGGACATCTTTTGTAACATTCTATTACTGTCTAGTAGATTCTATAACATGTCTTTACTGTTACTTTTGGTCAGTTTAATGCATCCTTGCTGAATAAAAGTATTTCTCTCAGAAAAATCTTCCTGACTGGTAGTGTAGTAGCTAGTTTTGAATTCTAATTTGCATATTTATGAGGTCAATCAAATTGATTGGATGAAGACAACCACACAACCTGTTTTAATAACTGTGTGTCCATCTGTGAAAATGTTGGCATTTGTATAGTAGTGCATGTGTTGCTGGCAGATGCCATGTGTTTGTGTTGTATTCCTGCACATGGTGTTCTCAAACACGCCTTTCGTGGTGTGGACAAAACAAAAAAAAGTGTCTGACAAGTTTTAATTTCATGTTACCACATGGAAGAATTAGTTCTGCTGAGGGCAATCCACCAGCCTCAATGTTGTGAATGTGTATTTTTCTGTCTCCACTCCTCCAGGGTTTATGAACTATTATGATGCCTGCTCTGAGGGCCTTCGTACAGCGAGTCCACTCTTGAAGTTCGGGGGTCCGGGAGACTCCTGTCATTCTCCGCCCCGCTCGCCGTACTGCTGGGAGATGCTACAGCACTGTTACAATGGCACAAACTACTTCACTGGAGAGACCGGCGTACGGCTAGACTACATCGCCCTACACAAGAAGGTGCATGCAAAATGCAAATATATCACATGTAATTGAGTCCTGACCTAGATGGAATAAAAAAATTAGAGGTAATTGCAACTTCTTCCCCGAATTGCAAATTTATATTTTACAATTGTGGCTTTGTCACGCAATTCTGAACTTTTTCTCAAAATTCTGAATTTATATCTTGGCAATTGAGTTTCTATCTTGCAATTCTGAGTTTATATTTTGTGTTTCTAACTTTTTCTCAGAGTTCTGCATTTATATCTCACAATTCTGGGTTTATATTTTGTATTTCTAACTTTTTCTCGCAATTCTGAGTTTATATCTGGCAATTCTGGGTTTATATCTGGCAATTCTACATTTATATCTCACAATTCTGGGTTTATATTTTGTATTTCTAACTTTTTCTCGCAATTCTGAGTTTATATCTGGCCATTCTGAGTTTATATCTGGCAATTCTGAGTTTATATCTGGCAATTCTGGGTTTATATCTGGCAATTCTACATTTATATCTCACAATTCTGGGTTTATATTTTGTATTTCTAACTTTTTCTCGCAATTCTGAGTTTATATCTGGCCATTCTGAGTTTATATCTGGCAATTCTGAGTTTATATCTGGCAATTCTACATTTATATCTCGCATGTGAGTTTATATCTCACAATTCTGAGTTTATATCTCACAATTCTAAATTTATATCTCGCATGTGAGTTTATATCTCACAATTCTAAATTTATATCTCGCAATTCTGAGTTTATATCTCGCATGTGAGTTTATATCTCGCAATTCTAAATTGATATCTCATGTGAGTTTATATCTCATGTGAGTTTATATCTCGCATGTGAGTTTATATCTCGCAATTCTAAATTTATATCTCATGTAAGTTTATATCTCGCAATTCTAAATTGATATCTCATGTGAGTTTATATCTCGCAGTTCTAAATTTATATCTCGCATGTGAGTTTATATCTCGCAATTCTAAATTTATGTCTCATGTGAGTTTATATCTCGCAATTCTAAATTTATATCTCATGTGAGTTTATATCTCGCAATTCTAAATGTATATCTCACATGTGAGTTTGTCTCACAATTCTGAGTTTCTCACAATTCTAAATTTATATTTTGCATGTGAGTTTATATCTCACATGTGAGTTTATATCTCACATGTGAGTTTATATCTCACATGTGAGTTTATATCTCACATGTGAGTTTATATCTCACATGTGAGTTTATATCTCACATGTGAGTTTATATCTCACATGTGAGTTTATATCTCACATGTGAGTTTATTCTCGCAATTCTGAGTTTATATCTCGCATGTGAGTTTATATCTCACAATTCTGTTTATATCTCACAATTCTAAATGTATATCTCACATGTGAGTTTATATCTCACAATTCTGAGTTTATATATATAATTAATAAATAATAATAATAATAGTAATAATTTATGCATTTAGCAGACGCTTTTATCCAAATTCTACGTTTTTTCCAGAATTCTGAGTTTATATCTCGCAATTCTGACTTTTTTTTTTAGAATTCTGAGTTTATATCTCGCAATTCTGACTTTTTTTTTTAGAATTCAGAGTTTATATATTGCAATTGAGTTTTTTATCTCACAATTCTGAGTTTGTTTCTCACAAATCTGTGTTTATATCTCGTAATTCTGACCTTTTATCTCACAGTTGAGCTTATATTTCGCAATGTATTTTATATATCAAAAAACTGAGTTTATAATTTGTAATTCTGTTTATATTTCCAAATTCTGTATTTATTTCTCGCAATTCTGTATAAATAAATCTGTATTTTTTATACTTATGGGTTTATATCTTGCAATTCTGTTTGTCACAATTTTGACTTTTTTCCCCAGAATTCTGAGTTTATATCTTGTAGTTCTGACTTTTTTTCTCATAATTCTGAATTTTGATCTTGCGATTCTGTTTATGTCTCACAATTTTAAAAAAAAGTGAGAAATGCAAGGGAAACAATGTGATAAAAAGAACTCTTAGAGATAAAGTCATTACATTTTATTTAATTCGGTGGCAGACACAAGCTTCCATATGTTTCACACATAAATGAAGGAAAAAATATTTTTGATTGTTGTAGTGTGTTTGTATTTGTTTTTCAGGGAGGTGGTAGCTCGTTACCCATCCTGCAGCAGGAAGTGGTCACTGTGCGGGAGATCCAGCAGAGGTTTCCACAGTTACGTTCTGTGCCGATCTACAATGACGAGGCAGATCCATTGGTTGGCTGGAACAAACCACTCACCTGGAGAGCAGATGTCACCTATGCAGCCATGGTGGTTAAGGTAGACAGTTGTGTTTCTTTGTTCTCATTCTGAGATCTCATTTCATCAGCTGTGATTTTTGTGATTAGTAGGACATAGCGAAATGTTATTTACATGAGGTCATATTCCTTATTCAACATCCATTTATGGTTCTGGAGCAGAATTGCATTCAGTCATATTGTCCTGAACCCATCCTTAATATCAAAAACTCCATGAAAAGGTTTGGCAAATATATATTTCTTTGCTCAACTGATGTATTTCCTATTAAAACAGAAAGTTGTGGCAAGACAAATAAAAAGGATTGCTATTGTTTTTTTTATGTATCCAGTAACTATAACCTCAAAATAGGGCTGCACGATTAATCAAAATAAAACCAAAATTACAATATTGCTTTGTGTACTGTAAAACAAAAATACTATTGTCATTATTATTGTTTTTCCGAAATACTAATTTTTTTTTTTCATTTTACAGTGAAATATTACAATAGTAATTTTTCTTATTTTGTTGAATATTTTTATTTAAAAATATTTTATATATATGAAGAATTTTAATCGATTAGATTTTTTCCCTAAATTGTGCAGCCCTACCTCAAAGCTAATAGACATGGACTAAAAGCCATAAAACCCATATTTAGACTTGTAATGGGATCTTTAATTATTTTCATATTTTTTCATTCTTAAATTAATTGCATTCCATAATTGATTAAGGCTTGTTAATTTAGTGAGTCAGATATATATTGTCCTTTCATGTCTCTGGTGTGTTTTAGGTCATCTCACAGCATCAGAACCTGCTCATCGCTGACCAGAACAGTACCGTTAACTACACGTTGCTTAGCAACGACAATGCTTTCCTTAGTTACCACCCGCACCCGTTTACCCAGCGCACTCTCACCGCCCGATTCCAGATCAACAACACAAACCCGCCGCATGTGCAGTTACTACGGAAACCAGTCCTGACTGTGATGGGCCTGTTGGCATTGTTAGGTAATGAAAGTTAGTAGGCAATATACCAGTTAAAACAAGTTGAAACGTCTATTAAATCTAATATTATTTACATGTTATTTTTTTCATTCTTGTTATACAAGAAAAATGCATACATTTATCAAGACAACAATACAAGAACATTAATACGGTTACAAAATTGTTACCCGATATGTATTCCTTATTTTTCACAATGTTTTATATTTCCCCAATTTTTAACTGCTACTTTATACTGTAAAGCTGTTCTTTATACAGAGCTAGTTCTTTGTAACTCCTTTAAAAAATTAAAGAAAAAATTATATTGCAGACACCTTTCCATTCAATAAACACTTTTAATTTCAATAAAATTTCAATAAAAATGTGATTGCATCGGTTTGATGTATTCAGATGTATTAAGTCAATATTATCTTTAATAAAAATAAAATTATTTATATAGTTTATTTATATAAAAAAATATTTTTTAATGTTTTTTTTTTTTTAATTTGTCAAATGGGCTTAATTTTTAAATTACTTTTCGATAGACGTGTATAGTCTGATATATTAACCAAAATATAAACCTTAAATTACATTTAATACAATTCAATATTATATTTAATACAAATAAATAAAATATTTATTTAAAATAATTTGTCATTGTTATTTTAGTTTTTCAATTTATTATAAGTCAAATTTTTTAATTACTTAATTACTTTTCCATAAACATGTATATTGTGATATGTTGACCAAAATCTTATAATAAAATTAAATCTTAATAAAATAAATAATTTCTTAATTTATTTAAATAAAATATTTTGTTATATTTAGTTATTTTTATTGATGACTTTTCCATTAAAATGTGTATATTGTGATATATTAACCAAAATCTTAATATTTAATATAATTAAATTATTTAAAGGTGTCCTATTATGCTCTTTTGCAAAGTCTTGATTTTGTTTTGGGGGTGTACTAGAACAGGTTCTCATACTAGGTTGTTCGAAAAACACATTATTTTTCACATATTTTACTTTATTACAACAGCTCTCTCCTCAGTCTGGAATGAACGGCTCGAATAGTTCCTGTATTAAACGAAGGCCCGCCTTCTGAAATACGAAATGTGCTGTGATTGGTTAGCTGAGCCGGTGTGTGCTGGGATTGGTTAGCTGGGCCAGTGTGTGCTGTGATTGGTTAGCTGGGCCGGTGTGTGCTGTGATTGGTTAGCTGGGCCGGTGTGTGCTGTGATTGGTTAGCTGGGCCGGTGTGTGCTGTGATTGGTTAGCTGGGCCGGTGTGTGCTGTGATTGGTTAGCTGGGCCGGTGTGTGCTGTGATTGGTTAGCTGGGCCGGTGTGTGCTGTGATTGGTTAGCTGGGCCGGTGTGTGCTGTGATTGGTTAGCTGGGCCGGTGTGTGCTGTGATTGGTTAGCTGGGCCAGTGTGTGCTGTGATTGGTTAGCTGGACCAGTGTGTGCTGTGATTGGCAGCACTCGGCGCCTGGTCGGGAAATGTCATGCCCCTTACCACTGCAAGCTTGTGATTGGTTAGCTTGGCCTGTGAGTGTGTTGTGATTGGTTAGCTTGGCCTGTGAGTGTGTTGTGATTGGTTAGCTGGGCCGGTGTGTGTTGTGATTGGTTAGCTGGGCCGGTGTGTATTGTGATTGGCAGCACTCGGCGCCTGGTGGGGAAATGTCACGCCCCTTACCATAGCCGCCTGCAAGCTTCAGTGTTAAATATTGCATCAAAATCAAATCAATTTGAGCGCGATTTAAACCCGGATGATTGTAACCACTCTAAGTTCGTCTGCCCTGGGAAAGCTAGCGTGTCTCCGACATGGTGATAACACTCATTGCCTTCTCTAGTGCAGCTCAACCAGGTCTCGTCCCATTCGTCGATATTTGTGATACCAAACGAGTCGTTCATTGTAGTTTTTGAAAAGTGATTTCTGTTAAATAAAATATCTCCTTTTGAAGTGGACTTTGAAATTTGCAGATCTTTTTTGAACTAAAGTTGAAAAAGTGAAAAAGCATAACAGGACCCCTTTAATAAAATATAGGTATCTTATATCAACTACCACCTAATTGTTCGGTATTGTTTGTGATATTCTCACATTCATTCAGGTGAGACTCAGGTGCAGGCTGAGGTGTTGACTGACGGCTCTGAAGTGAATTCATCAGTGGGTGCACTGGCCACCGTTCACGTCCCTCAGGTGCCGAACACAGCCGATAGCTGGCAGACCACTGTCCTGCTGTATAACAGCAGAGATAACCAGACCTCCTCCACCACAGACATCATCACCCTGCGCCTCACTGGAATACCTCAGCGTAAGGGTCAGTAACTACAAACCAGCACCTTATTAAAAAAAACTAACTTGTTTTTAAAAAAAGGAATTAAAGAAGGGAAAAGAAATGAAAATGTTTATATTCATATATTAGTTATATTTTCTTAAGAATGTAGAATTGAATAGAACAGAATATGCTTGTATTTACAGTTCTATCCTGTCTGTGTTTCTAGGTCTGATGTATGTGACACACTACATGGATAATAACGTGACAAACCCATTTAAACTGTGGGAGAACATGGGCAGCCCTGACTATCCCACTGCACAACAGTTCACACAGCTACGGAGCCAAGAGGTTCAACACACGCATTCATACTTCACAACACACTTTTATAGATAATGAGCATTTAATTTTTCCTTCAAGTTCACTTTTTATAATGTTACTTAAAGGGGTCATATGATACAATTTCAAGTTTTCCTTTCTCTTTGGAGTGTTACAAGCTGATTGTGCATAGATAAGATCCCTGAAGTTGCAAAGACTAAAGTCTCAAAACCAAAGAGATATTCTTTATCAAAGTTAAGACTCTACCACGCCCCCCTAAAACGGCTCATTCTAACACGCCCCCACATATCTACCTCACTATGTGGAAATATTAGCATAATGTGGCCCAGATGCGCACGCAAAGAAAGAAGGCGTGGTTTCAGTAACCGCAGCCATGTCAGGGAGACGCTGTGTGTTTCTAGGAGAAAGCAAAAGCACTTTATTTGGCCTTCCAGAAGTAGATGCATTTAGGAATCTTTAAGATTACTTACAACAGAACAGCAATGCATTTTATGGACGACCGTTTTGTGAAGCTAGGAGAGGAGGTCATTCTGACTTTGCTATGACAATCTGGCGCTTCAGAATCAGCTACTGTTTTGTTGTTAATTTAAGTATTTGCTATTGACTGTTCAATTGCAGATTTTTGTGTATCGTGTGTCTGTGTGTGTGCACGAGTGTGTGTGTGAGAGAGGGAGACAGGGTCACATCACAGTGGAGTCAGCTGTCTTAACCGTGGCTTGTGTACTGAAAACACATACCAGCTTCATCACTGTGTCTGTCACGCGACTCTGTTCCCCTTTCGGGCTCTGTCTTTACATTTATTTTGAAAGATGAAGCTCGCGATTATGGTAAGGGGCGTTACATTTCCGACGAGTGCTTGCAGTGTTCGGCCAATCACAATGCACTGGGTCAGCTGGCCAATCAGAGCAGACTGCGCTTGTCGGAAGGAGGGACTTTGTAGAAAACTAAGCGTTTGAGAGAGGCGGGGCATAGAGGACCTACAATAATGTACAGTATTTGAAAAACAATGTGTTTTTTGAACATTAAAGCATGTCAACATTCTGTTACACCAAATACACAAAATAATGATCTTTTAAAAAAGCATCATATGACCCCTTTAATGTTTCTTGCACACAAAACTGTTTTTTTTTTCATGACCGCTTGAGTTTTAAACGGGCTGCTTTTTGCTAACATACCTTTAAGACTTCTGTTTGTTTCTCATTTGGGTGGCCATATGTTAATGAGCTCATGAGCTGTTGTTTTTGTTCAGCTGAGATTGAATAAGTATCTACAAAACAGCTAGAAAAATACTTTTTTTCTGTCTTGTGAAGTCTTTAATGTGTATGCTGTAGGATCCACAGACTGATGGGCCTCTGCCGGTCCCATCCGATGGCTCTCTGACGCTGAAGGCAACCCTTCCTGTCCCCTCAGTGCTGCTTGTACACGTTTGTGCTCAGTCTAAGGAAGTGCCCAACCAGGTTAGTGATAATATGTAGCAATAACATTACAGCGGTCTCATTTTAGATGCATGTGGCACCAAAAGGTTACATTACCAATCAGAGGTTTGGACACACATGACTGAATTTATGTTTCTCAGGATCTTAAAACCTTTAAAAAGGCTGATGCTGAAATACTTGTGATTGGTTAGCTGGGCCGGAATGGAATAAATGAACTATTGGAATATTAATGGAATAGGTGAACTATTCCTATAATAAAAGGAATAGTTCACCCAAAAAAGACAATTAGCTGAAAATGTACACATCCTCAGGTCATCCAGGATGTAGATGAGTTTGTTTCTTCATCAGAACACTTGCTCCACAAGGAATCCTCTGCAGTGAATGGGTGCCGTCAGAATGAGAGTCCAAACAGCTGATAAAAACGTCACAATAATCCACAAGTAGTCCATCAATTAACATCTTGTGCATTGAAAGGCTGCATGTTTGTTTGAAACAAATCCATCTTTGAGACTTTTTAAAGTTCAGACAGTTGCTTTTGGTTAAAATATGAGTCCTCTATCCTATTCCTCTCTCCAGTGAAAAAGTCACCTCATCTGAATTAGGAGAGAAATATGCACAGATCAAGCACTGTGGATTTTGATGTGAGAGGACAACAGGCAATGGACTCTCATTCTGACGGCACCCATTCACTGCAGAGGATCCATTGCTGAGCAAGTGATGTCATGCTACATTTTTCCAAATCCATTCTGATGAAGAATCAAACTCGTCTACATCTTGGATGGCCTGATGGAGAGTACATTTTCAGCTGATTTTCATTTTTGGGTCAACTATTCCTTTAAAAAATAGTTTTGTAGACAAATCTAAATTGTATTGATGTATGAAGTTCTTTTTAAATTTTCAAAACAAGTCTCCAGCATATACAGTGGGTACGGAAAGTATTCAGACCCCCTTAAATGTTTCACTCTTTGTTATATTGCAGCCATTTGCTAAAATCGTTTAAGTTAATTTTTTTTTTTTTTTTTAATTGTGTGAGAAAGTTGCACCATTTTTTTTTACTTGTTATTCCATAGTGGAAAATCTTCCATATTTTTAACAACAATTTTCTTTAATTTAATTTCTCAGAAAATGAAGTACACTGATATCTGCAGTTCAGTCCTACATAAGCTTGCGCTTTATAATTGATAAGTTTAAATGTGTTAATGAACCTTTAAAACATAAATCAATGTGACCTCCATAAGCCACCAGCAAAAAAAGTGTGTATGTATATGTGTGTGTGTATGCGGGCCGTTTCTAGGCATAGGCGAGCTAGGCGGTTGCCACCAGCTGAAGGAGCGCCAATGAGCGCACGTACTGGCACTTTTAGCAGGGTTGTGATAAAGAGTGGCATGGTCACCGTGTACAGGCCAGTTTAAAGTTTGCCAAAGAACATCTAAATGCATCAGAGAAGGCTTGGGAGAAAGTGCTGTGGTCAGATGAGACCAAAATTGAGCTCTTTGGCATTAACTCGACTCGCCGTGTTTGGAGGGAGAGAAATGCTGACTATGACCCCAAGAACACCATCCCTACAGTCAAGCACGGAGCTGGAAACATTATGCTTGGGGGGGTTTCTGCTAAGGGTACAGGACGACTTCACCGTGTTGAGAGGCAAATGGACAGGGCCATGTACTGTAAAATCTTGGACAAGAACCTCAGCTAGAACACTGAAGATGGGTCATGGATGGGTCTTCCAGCATGACGATGACCCGAAACATACCGACAAGGCAGCAAAGGAGTGGCTGAAGAAGAAGCACATTAAGGTCATGGAGTGGCCTAGCCAGTCTCCAGACCTCAATACTATAGAAAATCTGTGGAGTGAGCTGAAACTTCCAGTTGCCAAATGACAGCCAAGAAACCTTAAGGATTTAGAGAAGATCTTTAAAGGGGAGTGTATCAAAATCCCTCCTGAGATGTGTGCAAACCTGATGACCAACTACAAAAAACGTCTTACCTCTGTGCTTGCCAACAAGGGTTTCTGTACCAAGTACTAAGTCATGTTTTGCTTGGGGATCAAATACTTATTTCACTCACTGAAATGCAAGTCAATTTCTAACCTTTATATAATGTGTTTTTTCCTGGATTTTTTTGTTGGTATTCTGTCTCTATACGTTAAAATAAACCTACCATAAAATTACAGACCCTTAATTTCTTTGTAAGTGGACAAACTTACAAAATCAGCAGGGGATCAAATAAATATTTCCTCCACTGTATTTTATATTAGCATTATTTTACTGACAAATGTCGAGAGCGCACTGTTGTAGCGTGAATATGATGCGCGAGCGCGAATCTCTCCGCTCACACGAGTATTTCCTTTGCTCTCGTACAAAACCCGGACGCGCCCTCTCAGATATACGCTGCTCTCACCCAGAGAGTGTGTGCGCACTTAAAATGTGTCCATTGCAATCGCGAACCTCTGCTCTCAGTCAAAGTGTGCGTGTGTGCATGCTTAAAGTTTACTCACAAGAAATTTAAAGCTGCAGTCCGTAACTTTTTTTTGGTTAAAAATGATCCGAAATCAATCTTTGAGCAAGTACATAACCAGCCAGTATTCAAAACTATCGCCTTACTTTAGCCCGATTCACAATGGTTAGCTTATAATAATGTTTTCTAATTTGAGTGGTACGGGTAGGTTTTCACGGGAAATTCGAGCATGGCACTGCGTCATTACGTCATGTCTGTAAACATAAAGAAGTTGTCCCAGCTGCTAGTCTATCGCATGTGAGGATCCTGCAGGTGGCGATCATTTATAGCCTTTTCTCACAGCAGCTAGAATAATTAAATGTATAATTTTGATGGCGGATTGTAATCCATAAAGGATTATGTGTTTATGAAACACATGTGAATAAAATTCACATGTGAATTATATTCCAGTTATAAATGTGCTTCTGATTACAGATAGCCTGGGATTACAAAGATTTGTATTTTAAAGAAAACCAGTTCGAAGGGAGCATGATTTGCTTTTTGGGTTAAAAGAATTTCTTAATATGAAATTCGAAGAGTATGACAATTAGGTTAGACTGTACAGAAATAGAAATCGACACGCTAATACACACTACTCATAGTCACCAATGCTGATGTTGTTAACATTAATAATTTGAGAATAATGTATAACAATAATAATAATTTGAATGGTTTGATGTGATATGAGCTAACCGATCTTTAGATTTAATCACCATTGGTAGCGAGATTTATGGTAATGCTTTTTTCCTCAGTTGGTTCAGAACAAAACGTGGCAGACGTGTTACTTACTTGTTCAGATGGCAATACGGTGAAAATTCTTATTTGGGTCATATTCTAAGACGTAGGCTAGAATCTGTGATTGTGAAGTACAGTAAATATTCACACCGGTGCGGTGACTGACTGCCACACATACTCTTCAGAACATTAGATTAATCCGCGCTGGAGCCGTGCCGACTCACAACCCACGCAAGCTAGATAATTCCACACACAGCTGCAATTCCAGGTTTTCAAACAGAGATGGCGACAAAGAGGCAAAACTTACGGACTGTATGACATCAAAGTACCATGAGAGCTCTAGAGAAATTGCTCTCGCGGTACTTTGATGTCATACGCCAATCGGTCTGCGCAGCGCTGCTTCAAGTTGAACACACCTATTGCCAGAAAGTGAAATGCAAAATAAAAGCAGCATTGCAAATAAATTAGTGGCCATAGAATATATGTAGCAAAATCATCGGTTTCATTTATATTTTGCAATTCTTTATGTAGCCCTGTTGAAAAAAAAATGTTTCTTTTACTTTCTATTAAAGTTTCTTCTTTATCTTTATATTATTTAATTATGTATTTATTATTTTTTGCATATATAAGTGTTACTAATAGTGGGTGTACTTAATGTGCATTGAAAATGTTTGCTTCCTATTGTTAGGAGTGTGTAAAGTTAATCTAGACTCTGATTGGATATTGCACATGTCAGTTTGGAGAGGAGAGTGAGGTGATTGGAGAAAAGAGGAGAGAGAGACGTGAAGAGGATGAAGGTGGAGGAAGAGTAATGACGACACAGAGTGTGTCGCGGGGCGATTAATGTGTTACTCCACTAAAACGAAGTGTAGTGACATTTATTTAACTTCGTACAGAGGTTTAAGTGATAAACTCCTGCATTAGTCGGTTGTGTAAGTGCATGTGATACATACTCAGGACTGTGACGCACTTGCTATTCGCAAGGCGTAACATTATTGATTAACTGGAGACTGAGCTCCTCCGGCAACGTTGGAGACGCTAACCAGGTAGCAATTCAGGCATCCAGGATTGCCTGTTAAGTTCCCCTGGCCTCGTTGGATTTCCTGATCGGGATAGCGTGACCCGTGATGATGATCCGGCCAGGGGCAGCACTTCTTCGTAATCAGTTCTGCTTGGCTCCCTTCTTTACTGACTGTGAGGTTCGTGAGTAGTATTGGCCCTTATTCATTGCTCTAGTAAGAGTGAAGCGGCGATATTGTATTTTTTTTCCCGCCCCAACGCACTCAAGCGTCGTTCAGGCCTGCACCGTTTTATTGGTCTGTTTTCCTTTTTGTTAAGGGGACTAATTTTGACATTTTGATAAAGAGTCTGGGCCCAGTGAAATTTGAGTTCTTACTTAAGTTATATGTAAACGGCTATAAAAAGTGGTGACCATACATAAAAGATCTGTTTAGCGATAACATAGTTATTTACTTTCATTTATCCTAAGGTGTGTGGGCTCATTTGAGCATACTTTTCAGTTTTCAAGTAAAAGAGACAAAACCGTGTATTTGTCATTTCCTTTCTTTATTCAGATTTCTACATTTATAGATATATTGTGAGTTTAACAGTTTATCTAAAGTTCCAACAGAAATCATAGTAGTTCTATTAGTAACTAACCCAGAGCACTCTAGACAGTGTGGCCTATAGAGTGCTACATTTATTTTTGTTTGCAAAAATGTTTCTCACAATACTTCATTTTCTTTTGCAATTCATTATTTTTGTTTGGAAAAAGCACATTTATTTATTTCTCAATACTTTCATTTTCATTTGCAAAACTTCAATTCTTTTGCGAATATATGTGGCATTGAATTGACTCCATACCTTTGGAATAAGAAGTGTTGTGAAAAATGAACTGAAAATGACTTGAAATTGAACTGAACACAAAGGCTTGCATGGTCTCAAAGAACAAAAACATTGGAACTGCTGAGAACAAATAAGGAATCGCTGGGTCTTTTGTTGCTAAATAAAATGCAGGCCAAGTTCAAAAGGCCAGGTTAGGTAGAACGTCAACAGTGAAGATAATGCAGGCTAGCATCAGTGTTATGTGGCTAACTGTGATTCTTTAACTAGATGAAAATGAGAAAAAAAATATGATGTCCAAACATTAAAATGTTGGCTACTTTAATGCTGTAGCTTTATTGTCAAAGATTTCTCATTCCATGAAAACCAAACATTTTATAAATCGCAAGGAACACGAGGTGAGGAATAACAGACTGTAAGTATGTACCACTTGATAATTTAAATCAGTGTTACTTATTACTTGTGTTTTAAAATTTCACTTGGCACTTTTAGATAAGAGGATTTTTAGAAAGTGGTCTCATTCAGACAAGATTCAGTACATCTTAACAATGCCAACAATCACTAGTGTCTACAAAACATTAGTTTCAATGCAGCCACACTCTGTGAGTTTCGTCTTGGCTCTCAGGATGAAGTTAACATTCCCTCTGTTCTTCATGTTGGAAGCATATTCATGAGACTTCAGTTTGGCATAGTAATCAGAGAACTTATTAAAGAGCATGGAGATAGGAAGGCCATTCAAAATGGTCCCAAAGGAAATGCAGCCAAAGTCAAATATGCGGCCCAAAAGGGTCTCCGGATACATGTCACCATAGCCTACAGTAGAGATGCTAACCTGGAACAAGAAAATATTGGTAAACTGATAAAAAATTTACCCATTTACCCAACCTAATGTGGCTTTCCCAAACCCCTATGAGTTTCTTTCTTACACAGAAAACCAATGGAGAGGTTTAGCAGAAAGTGCATGGAGACCATAAGTGGTAAAGCACAAAAACACCTCGAAAACTTCATAAAAGTAGTTCAAAAGGCTTTTTAGATTTTCCAAGTCTGAAGATGTATAATAGCTTTGTGAGAGAAACTTGAAAATTCACCATTCACTTTCACTGTTATGGAAAAGAGCAGCTTGGACATTGTGCTGTTGAGTGCAACAGTGCCTATTTAGCCTTTTTAGCAGCCTTGGATTGATTTTTCCCAATAATTCTTCCCATAGGGGTTGCAAAATGTCTTTGTTAAGGAGTTGTATGAACCAAACCGACCAGCTGAAGTGAACCACAACACTGCAGACTTTGTTTCAAAGTAAAGAAGTATTGGAATGATCATGTGACACTGAAACTATATATATATATATATATTTATACTGTATATATACAATATATTGCTAAATATGCACATTATGCATACAAATGCTTAAGTAATTTTAGAGTGTAGGGATACTGACTTAATTACATCAAACGCAATGCTTCATGGGAGTGGGCAATTCTTTTGGTGCGATTTGCTTGTCAGGATTCTCTGATTGCTAGAGATTTAGCTGCAGAATTATGGGTAATGTAGTTTTCCATGAGGAATTCCACTCTTAAACATGATCATTTTTAATATAAAATGAAATTACAACATTTGTTGGAATAATGAATACTGATCGCTTCAACATTAGCATATACCGTCAATTAACAACCTTGGAGCTCACAGTAGGTCTTTCTTTAAAGATTCGCAATTGTTCAAAACCAATTCCCCTATAGAGAAAATGAATGGTATTTTACTTCCAGAACCCACCACTCTTTAAATATCTCCTTTTGTGTTTTCCATAGAAAAAAGAAAGTAATACTGGTTTTAAAAGACATGAGAGTGAGTAATTCAACATCAACTATATCATATCTGCATGATTAATAGAAATAAAAGTTACTTACAGATGCCCACCACCAAGAATGTGGAATACCGGTTGAATTTGGTATGAGGGACGTCGTGTTCAACAGTATAAACCATGGCGGAGAATGTAAAGATCCCCATGGCGATAAAGAGGAAGAGACATCCCACCTGCTGGTAGCACTGCCTCAACGTGAAGCCAAACGCTCTGAGCCCCGTAGAGTGACGCGCCAGTTTCAGAACCCGAAAAATACTCATGAGTCGCATGATTCATAATACTTGTCCCATCTTGCTCACCTGACCAACAGTCTCTATGTCAGTGGTTTGTTTCCTAGAACCAAAGGTCTCAAAGCTTTCAAGCGCAAATTAGAGAAACTGTGGCAAGATGGCCATGAGGTCAACCGTGTTCAGTATGCTCTTAACGAAGCGACCGATATCTGGGGTTGAAACTAGACGCAGCAGGTACTCAGAGGTGAAGAAGGTTATGCACAGAGTCTCGACAAACTCTCCATATATCTTTCCACTAAACTCGTTAGTAGATGCCATGTTCTCCATTTCGTCTACCGTAGTCAAAGTCATTGTAACCAGTGACACCAGCACAAACATACTCGAGGCGACCGCCATTCGTTTCGGCGGTATCTAGGAGAACGGTTTCTCCATGAAGTTCCAAAACGAGCGTCTCGTCTCGCTGAGGAACATGTTATCAAACGCCTCCTCGTTTTCTTCGATTTCCACCTCCTCCTCCAGTTCCTTCTGAACCCTGAGCTGTTCGCACAACTCGTCGTGTTTCTCCTCAAGCAGGATCCGACAGCACCGTTGCGAGTATTTGATCCGAACGCCCCAGTAATTGATCTCTTCCAAGAAGTTCCTCGGACAAAGCTCGTCCTTGATCCACAGCACGCCGGTCCTGTAGAAGTTGAAGATGGTGTTGAAGATGTCTGGATCTCGGTCGAATAAATACTTGTTTTCCTTCACAACGTAGTCGTCACAGAGCTTCAACTTCATGTTGAGGTCCGTATAGTTTGCCAGACGGCCAATTCTGCTCTGTGGGTATCTTGCTGCCATTTTGTAGGTGATGCGGTAGGACTTTCCACCAACGTTGAGGTTAAGCATGCAATTCCTGCTGGGTGATGCTTTTACAAACCACAACGTTGGATCCGAATGCTTCTCAATCTCCTCATCGTCACCAAAGATTTCATAGATATCTGTCTGTAGTTCACCTAAAGAGCTCCACTGTTTTAACAAACACAGTTTAGTGAACGGAACAGCGTCGTCTGTTGACTCAGAGGTTGCTAGTTTGCTGTTGAGAAAGAGGCCCTGTCTCCTGTTTCTCTGAAAGTTGAACATCCTTTCAGTCCTCCACGAGGAGGATAGCTAGTGTTCTGTGCACCTGTAAATCTCAGAGCTTTACTGACGTTAAATCTATCCTATTTAAGTATAAAAAGGCAAGCAGGAGGCAGCACCAGAGCTCTAATGCTCTCTACAAGGAGCTAAGAGTTCAACTTAAATGCCATCATCCTTTAAGTTCTTTGAAATGGCATGCTTGCCATGTGTCGATGAATGAATGCTCTTACCAAGTTACAGATGAGTTTAAGACCCCCTTCAACACCCAATTGCTTATTCATAAACTTATTCTAAACTAGAGGCTCTTTAGCCACAGTACAGTAGTTAGAAATGGAGTGCCATATTATTTACTACAGGATAATGATAATACGATTTAAACAAGCACCCAAACAGACAAAGGAATTAGTGAGCGTGAAGGAATTCTATGGAAACTATGCATTAGAGAGAGAGAGAGAGACAGAGAGAGAGAGATTTTGGAGTAATTAAGATTTATTTTTATTTTTAGAGGCTCACCATGCTGTGTTTATTTTATCAAAAATACAGTAAAACAGTAAAATTGTGAAATATTGTTACAATTTCAAATACTGTTTTCTATTTGAATATATTTTCAAATATAATTTATTCCTGTGATGGCAAAGCTGAATTTTCAGCATCATTACTCCAGTCTTCAGTGTCACATGATCCTTCATAAATCAATTAAAGCCATTATTAATAATTTAGCACTATTATTTAATGATTATAACTGACACCAAATCACACACACACACACACACACACACACATATATATATATATATATAC